CATATTTATCAACCAATGACAGTAGTCTAACCTCCTGTCGTAGTCTGCGACAGTCAAAGCTTGGTGCAGCCCACATACTTTGATTTTCTTTTACTATACGGAGAATGGTCGCACTGCGCAGCTTTCTGATTGCCTTTTAAAAGGAGATAGAAAACTCCACCATTTTGAACCCTTATTACGTGTTGCCTACATCTTGGCGCAATATTTTTAATAGGTGCGTTTTAATCATCCGCTTCTGCTTCGGAATTGTCGGTTTTCTTGTTTTAATCTGACAGGTTAAAACGACTAAACCGACAATTCCGGAAGCAGAAGCGGATGATTAAAACGCACCTGATATTTTGCTTGCTGCTGTCAGTGTCAGTGAATATTATTTTAGAAGTCACAGTTTATTGCTAAAGAATCAGTTAGCTCACTCGGACCAGTTGAAAGTTCCAAAATAACATCCACTCCAAGGATACAAATTCAGGATACGCAGAAGACTGCTGTTTTATTACAGTCGGTTGTCATATATTGTATTATCCGAGTTGCACAGTGTATAAACTGAAACATTGAGATCAAAAGTGCCGACGCAGGGTGAGCGATCTGATTCTTTAGCTGTAAACTGTGTCACAGGGTTCAAAATGGCCGCGCCCTATGTTGGGCGTGTCGGACCTCTCTCTTGCCTCGTATAGTTATCAAAGTATGTGGTGCAGCCACATACTTTGATTTTCTTTTACTATACGGAGAATGGTCGCACTGCGCAGCTTTCTGAGTGCCTTTTAAAAGGAGATAGAAAACTCCGCTATTTTGAACCCTTATTACGTGTTGCCTACATCTTGGCGCAATATTATTAATAGGTGCGTTTTAATCATCCGCTTCTGCTTCGGAATTGTCAGTTTTCTTGTTTTAATCTGACAGGTTAGAACGACTGAACCGACAATTCCGGAAGCAGAAGCGGATGAATAAAACGCACCTGATATTTTGCTTGCTGCTGTCAGTGTCAGTGAATATTATTTTTGGAGTCACAGTTTATTGCTAAAGAATCAGTTAGCTCACTCGAACCAGTTGAAAGTTCCAAAATAACATCCACTTCAGGAATACTAAATTCAGGATACGTAGAAGACTGCTGTTTTATTATATGCGGTTGTCATATATTGTATTATCTGAGTTGCGCAGTGTATAAACTGGAACATTGAGATAAAAAGTGCCGACGCCGAGTGAGCGATCTGATTCTTTAGCTATAAACTGTGTCATAGGGTTCAAAATGGCCGCGCCCTATGTTAGGCGTGTCGGACCTCTCTCTTGCCCCGTATAGTAATCAAAGTATGTGTTTGATACACATTCACACTCACTGTTACTGAACATTTTATAAATAACGTGTCGAAAAGCATTTTGATTAAAGACAACAACTGACAGTTTAGATATGGCAACCTTGTGGGCCTATTGACAAGGTCAATGATACATATATAACTAGATTGCTAAAAGCGGGTCGTTTGCGAGTGGCCATATTTCCTGGCAAGTGCTTATTAATTTAAATCGGTTTAGCAAAAATGTATTTTAAAACCAATTTCCAGCCCTTAGATATATTAAAAAAAAAATAATTATCTACATTCAAAAACATAGATGATCAGTCTATATAACTACCTATATCATTGACCCTCTCAAATCACCAGGCCCCACATACTTTGATTTTCTTTTTTTTTATTTTCTTTTTTTGATTTTCTTTTACTATACGGAGAATGGTCGAACTGCGCAGCTTTCTGAGTGCCTTTTAAAAGGAGATAGAAAACTCCGCCATTTCGAACCCTTATTACGTGTTGCCTACATCTTGGCGCAGTATTTTTAATAGGTGCGTTTTAATCATCCGCTTCTGCTTCGGAATTGTCGGTTTTCTTGTTTTAATCTGACAGGTTAAAACGACTAAACCGACAATTCCGGAAGCAGAAGCGGATGATTAAAACGCACCTGATATTTTGCTTGCTGCTGTCAGTGTCAGTGAATATTATTTTTGGAGTCACAGTTTATTGCTAAAGAATCAGTTAGCTCACTCGGACCAGTTGAAAGTTCCAAAATAACATCCACTCCAGGGATACAAATTCAGGATACGCAGAAGACTGCTGTTTTATTATAGGCGGTTGTCATATATTGTATTATCCGAGTTGCACAGTATATAAACTGAAACATTGAGATCAAAAGTGCCGACGCAGAGTGAGCGATCTGATTCTTTAGCTGTAAACTGTGTCACAGGGTTCAAAATGGCCGCGCCCTATGTTGGACGTGTCGGACCTCTCTCTTGCCTCGTATAGTAATCAAAGTATGTGCCAGGCCCTTAGTGTTGCTATATTATAACATTTACAGGGGTGATACAATCAGTTGTACAAAATAACCGAAAAAGCATGTAATAACTAAACAGGAAAGTCACGTGTTGGACACATCAGATTTAAATATGTATATTAGGATTTCTAATTCAATAAAGATCTATTTATCTAATGCAACTACTAAAAAATTAAATTTTCATACAAAACTAAAAAGAATCTGACATTTAACCAAATTTATATTGGAAAACTAAACCAATTTCATTTCACATAATTAAAACAGTAAGATCCAAATACTTTGATCCCGATTTGATAAAAAGTTAATTGTTCTGATGAAATTCCTGATTGAATTAATGAAAAATGCCTTTAGCTGGGAAAAGACAAAGGCCTTTGTTGTCCCGAAAGCCTTTCGGAAAGGAGGAAAACGCGACACCCTAATAATATTAATATTATCATACCTCTTTGTTTTGTTTTGTTTTGTTTTGTTTTGTTATTAATTCGTAAAATAACCAGAACATTTTCCGTGGAAGGAATACATATTCAGGACAATAACTCAGCAGTGGTCTAAGGGGTGGAATTTTTAATAAGATTTTTTCAATTTAAGGGGAAATTGTTCAACAGATCGCTCAAGAATAACGACGCAATTAAAAATAATCGATTTTACAGTGTTACGTTTTTAAATTTATTTTTTGAAAATATTTAGTTGCATATTTTAAAATAACAATATTTAAAAATATTTAATAAAAAAATTCTCTTGAGATTATGAATTATGAAAAAGCAACTTATGTCATTATGAGCTAAATTTAAAATAATTAGGCCTCACAAAATAAAAAAGGAAATAAAAATATCTAAGATAGTGTTATTTTCTAATCTACCTACTATCGTTCTTAAATAAAAAAAAAAAGTTAAAACTATACTTCTAAAAAAAAATCTTAGAAATATGTCATTATTCTTGAAAACATTCCAGGAATTATTGTCGTAAAACGCTAAAAGTGTCTGTGTTCACTTTAACATCGAGGGTAATATTAAAATGAGCCCGTATTTTTTTATGTATTTTAAATAAACGTATTTCTTATTTCTTTTTGGGGAGAAGAAGATGTAAAAAACCAACTGAATTGTTTTTTAAGCATATAAAGTATAAAAAGTTTGTAGGGTATATAGATTTTGTCAAACGTGCCTGGACTATGGGGACGGTGGATTGCTCCCCCTTCTATAGCCCTTTCCTCCCCTTGGACCCGGCCCTGTTTCAGCAACATCGTCTAAATCCGCTATATTTGAAAATCCGAATCAAAATGGAATTTTCATTGCCGTGGAGTTGTTATTAGGTTGAATTTTCATTTCCTCGTTGTTAAGAGGTTGATGTGCGTTCCCCGAAATAACAGTTTCAGTCTTCATTTCCACCCGCTTTCTTATATTTTCGGTTTAGGGCAAATAATGCGAGTATCTTTTGTGAGAGGCATCCGTAAATCAGCAAGGAAACCAAAAGATTATTTATTCTATTCGAGGTAAATTTTGCGGAATGCCAGTTTTCCGTTAATTAAACGGAACATTAAGCGGTTCTGGAAATTATAATATAATTATGTAAAACATTGGAATTTGATTTGAATCCATTATTTTAAATAAAAGTTATAGGGTTGACTTTGTTGCATATTTATATAAAATACTACAGTTACAGGGGGATATAGAAAAAAAATGTCGATGTTTTTAAATGATTTACGCTATATATTTTTTCCCATTAATTAAAGCATAAATTTTACGTTCATTAAAAATTTATTTTTCAAAATTGTAAAAATTTATTGAAAAATTCTTCGTGATAAATTTCATTAAAAAAAACTTTCTACTGAGTTAGCTGAAAAGTCTGACATGACCAAAATCAAAAGTTTATTTTTATGTAGATATACAGGCGATTTTTATACAGCGGCATCAATTTGCCATACTTTAAACATCTAAAACTTTTTATAATTTATCATTTAGTATATTATTTCACTAATTAAGCTTTCCAACAACCTATCAAACAATAACAGCCTGTGGGTAGGGCTCGTATATCTAAGGATGTTGCGACATAGCCTTCCATCTTGGACGCTATTTTTATTCGAAATAGTAGACACTAAGCCTGTTAATTTATAAAAAATGTATAAGCAATTTTTTTAAATAATATGTTCATTGTGTTCGACCTAAATTCATTGTTCATGATTTCACGTGTTATAGATAACTTCATTTTTTCGGGAATTATACAAACTTCTATTACAGATCATTTTCCAGTAATGATGGTTAAAAAACTGTTAGGTAAACCAAATACAAAGCCGGTTATAACCACCTATAATAAACTAAATTTAAATATTTTTATTAGTCATATTCAAAATACAAATTGGGATAATATTTTAAATTCTCAAAATCCTGAAATAGCTTCCTCCTTATTTTTTCAACAGTATGAAACACATAAAAAAGAGTCTACAAAAATAATTAAATTTAAATAAATGAATAAGAAAAAACCTTGGATTATGGTAGGTTTAGTAACATCTATCAAAAACAGAAACCGATTATTTCGTAAGCATTTATCTAATCCCGGTAATGAAAATATAAAAAATGAATATATATCATACAGAAATATCTTAAATAAACAGACAAAAAGTGCAAAAAGTACGTATTTTAAAAATGAAGTGCCAAAAAATCAAAAATCTCCCAAACATCTTTGGAAAGTAGTTAATGATTACACAAATAATTAATTTTAAAACTAAAAACGATCTGATACAAAAAATTGTGGTAGAAAATGGTTTAGAAGTTTCTAAACCTTCTGATATAGCTGATTCTTTTAATGAATATTTTCCAAACATTGGTGTTAACTTGGCATCAAAAATTAATAATATAAGTTGTAATTATCATTCTCCCAATTTTCAAAGGTCTTTCGTTCTAAGACCCACTACTGAAATAGAAATTATTAGTACTTGCTTATCTTTACAGAACAATAAATCTCCTGGTCATGATGGTATAACAAATGAAACGCTCAAAGTAACCATTAAATATATTGGTAAACCTTTAACCCATATATTCAATTTATGTTTTCAAAATAGATTTGTCTATAAACAACTTAAAATTGCCCATATCAAACCGTAATTTAAAGGAGGCGAAAAAAAAAAACGGAAATTAATAATTATTGGCAAATTTCACTTACAACGGGTTTTTTCTAAAATATTTGAAAAAATTGTCAAAATTCGATTATCTGATTACCTAGATCAAAAAAATATACTTTCAAAAAATCAGTTTGGTTTTAGGGAAAAAATGGGAACGGAAGATGCTATAGCCCAACTTACTTCAGAAATATACAAAGCAATAGATAATAAAAAAACATGCATGGGTGTATTTATAGATATACAAAAAGCTCTTGACACAGTAAGTTACAAATTATTAATTGACAAAATGGAACATCTTGGTATCAGAGGTAGGTACTCCCTTAACACTTTTTAGAAATTTTTAAATGAATAGATATCAGCGTGTTAAAATTAATGAATCACTTAGTGGAATAAGAACAGTGTCTTGCGGGGTTCCACAAGGCACTGTTCTTGGACCTATCCTTTTTGTTTTATATTTAAGTGACTTACTTGCTGTTAAAACTTCAAGTCATATAATATCTCTTGCTGATGATACGGTCCTTCTTTGCTATGGAAAAAATTGGGAGTTATTCAAAAACAAAATTGTGGAAGATCTGAAAAAAGTAAAAAAATGGTTTGAATGGAATTTGTTAACCCTAAATATTCAAAAAACTAATTCCCTTCTGTAAAAATGAAAGTACTCTTCCTAATTATAGAAGTATCAGTTTGGAAAAGGACGAAATCCTTTATTTTACAAAACACGTAAAATACCTTGGCATTCTTGTTGATACCTTCCTTAGATGGGATGCTCACGCGGATAGTCTGAAAAAGAAAATGCGTTTGTTAATTTACAAATTTTATCAATGCCGCTATATACTTACCTTAGATAATATGAAGATCATTTACTTTGCTCTTGTAGAATCATTGCTAAATTATGGATTAATTGGTTGGGGTAGTTTAAGAAAAAAATTTATGAAACCTATAGAGATAATTCAAAAAAGAATTTCAAAAATAATGTCTTTCCAACCACAAAGGTTTAGATCTAACCAATTATTTTACGATATGCAAATCTTAGATATAAGAAGATTATTTGTCAAATCATCTCTGACTTGTAACATTGTAATATCCACAATAATTGATCACAATTATTTGACAAGATCAAATATAGCAAATAATGTTTACTTACCTAGAGTGAATAAAGTCTTAGGTCAAAGATGTCACACTTCTGTTATACCAAGATTATATAATAAGCTAACGAAAGAGCTGAGACAGATTAAAGACTTTAGAAGAGTAAAACACACGTTAAAACAATGAAGCCTTCATGAAAATTTTGACGATATAATGAAATAAAACAAAAAAAAATAAGAAAAAATAAAAAAAAATAAATAAAATACTAGAAAATAAATTCATTTATTAAAAAATATAGATCAATTGAATTATGAATCAACACTCTCTCTCAACAAATGTTCACCTTCTTTTACTTTTTACTACATTTACCGGCAGAATTAACTGCCCACCCAATTAGTTTTATTTATTTCTGAAATTTTCGAAGACTTTTCGTCACTTTTTGACATTAATTGATATGACGTGACATTTTGACAGTAAACAAATGTTTAACTGTCATTGCTGTCATTCTTTTGCTTTTTATTAGTAATTTGGTTCCAATTTGGCTTGTTTATTGTTAGTGTATTTATTGGTTGGGCGGTTAATTCTGCCGGTGAGTGTATATTAGATTAGTTTTTAGGCTATAAATGTACTTACCTTTTAATAATATGTTGTTCAACAGTAATTTTTTTGTTTACATTATGTACATGTGTTAAGAAATATTATTACTAAGATTAAATTATAAAAATTATTTTAATGAACGGCTTTACCATAGACAGGCCTGATGGGCCTAAATGGATTACCTTGTTTATTAATTTAGTTCATAAATTTAATCTATTTTCTCTCTTTGTAATTTTGTAACTTTATTTTGTAATAAACAATTTTATTATTATTTATTTATAGATAAATTACATATCGTATGTAGCAACCCCTTAGATAAATCAACCCTTCCCACAGACAGCCATTTTGTTTGGAATGCCTAATTGTTAGAACCAATTAATTATCAAATTATGATTTTTTGTAAATTTCTTTTTAATATTTTCCAATTCTTTTAAACAAACTTTATTTAGGCCATGGAAACCTTGTAAGCTTAGTCCTAAAGTATTTATCGTCATTTAAGCAATATTTTCGATACAATTGCCGCGTTTGAGAATCCACATCGGATGCATTTTTTACATCTCGAGCGTTTTTTTATCCACATCGGACACATCTGTCCCATTACATTTACGTATACTGAATCACGTGATTAAAGATTTATTACATCTCAGATACATCCGATGTGGATTCTCAAACGCGGCAAATGTTTGTTTTTAACTTTATTCATAACAAAGTAAAAAAGTAATAAAATAGTATATTATGCAACGATCATGTAATGATGGTTATTAATACACGAGCATTAACCGGGATACGAAACGAGCCAAAGGCGAGTTTCGTATGGTTTATGCGAGTGTTTTAATAACCATTACATGAGAGTTGCATACGCTATTTTTTTCTACACCCGATAAATAATCAAGACCTATAAATATTATATTTATATTGGTATTGAACACAATAACAGTAATTACTCGTATTTCTATAAAAAATTCTACAAAATTGTAATTAATGGTATTACTTCAGGTATTGGTATTTCCCTAGATTTTTGCGGTAAAATATTTTGTACTGTATTTTCTGCTTTCTCCGATATGTGTGGAGGAGTCTTCTATATCGCTAATATCAGACATTTTAATATTATAATTATCGAAGTTTAGCTACCTACGAAAATTTAATACGTTTTGACAACTAAAATAATTACATAGGAACCTAGGACAAACGTCAAACAGCATGCTTGATTGAAAAATTGTAGGTTTCTATTGATTAAAAATCTGTATCGTAATGAAAAATCTGTATCATAATGGGTATCATTATGAAACGGATTATGGGCATATAAGTGCATTATTATAATACGGGTGTAGAAAAACGATTATATACGTAATAGAGTAGCTTTTTTGGCAGTTCAGACAGAAAGTTTTCTGTCGAGACTGTCAAAGGACTTTCTACTCCGATTACACACAAGATTTTGTTTACGATCACACCAAAATAAAATAATCAGTCACAAAACACTAATTGCTGCTTTCTTTGACATCGACCTACTTGATTCCTACGTTGTTTGTATGTTGTGTTGCCTACCTTTTACTATGTATGAGTATACAGGTTACATACTACTTAATTTTAATACTGCTTCTATATGTCGGTAATGATTTAATTATTTACGGAAAATACTATTGATTTAAAATATTAGAAAGTCAATTAAAATATTTATTTAGGTTATAGTCGGTGTTAAAATAACTAATAGTTCTATTTTACCAATAAATAAAATTAGGCGTGCGCCAAAGTTACTTTCCGCTTAAGAGTGCCAATAATATCACATTATGAAAGCTTGCAGAAAAGATCAACTTTGCAGTTACTTTTTAATAAGACGCAAAAGCCCTATTTTCGATAGTGATCGTAGAAAAAATAGGTTTAAATGAAAAAAAAAAAAAAAAAAAAATAATGGCCAGGGAATACTATTGCACCAGAATAGCCTACTTTCTTAGTGGATTTGTGACGTCTCCGCATAACCTCGCAACATTCAAACACATCATTTAAATTCAATATGGCTTAATAGGTACACATTTTTATTGATTTTGATTAAAAATTAAGGTTGTTGGACTCTAAAAATGATCTTTATTGGCATATTAGATCAATGGAGATATATTTAAATTAGAAGAAAAACTAGAATCCAGGGGAGTTTTTATATTATTTAATATTTTTAATTTCATTATCTTTATAAAGCAATAAGAAAATCGTTGAAGCAGTTCATCACTGTAAAAAAGTAATATAAAGGTAATAGTTATTATTAGAAAATATTTCCTTATTTCCATCAAAAATACTTCTTACACAGAATGTACCAAAAAAGTTCTGGTTTAGAGGTAAGTTATTAGTAAAGCTTTTTAGGTTCTACAGTGACGACAAATCCATGGGCAAAGCAAATGCTCTATCCAGAATCGAGAGTCAGAATTTATTTCGGCAATACTCTCGATTCTCAGTCCAAAAAATGAATCGATTATTGAATCGAGCAGCCAAATGACTTGTTATGTCACTAACGTACAGTGTTGCAATCTCTTCGATTTTTTCTTAATTTCTGGTTTTTTATTGGCTTTGTTCGCGGAGCCTGTCGCCGACAAGGACACGACTTGTCGCTGATAAATATTTCGAAACGTTTGTGCGCAACTGCGATTTGTAACATATCCCTGACAAGAGATCACCGCGGACGACTTGTGTACCAAAATGACTATCATACATTAACTGCAAATAAAAAGTAAAGGCAAAGACTGAAGATTGTGAAGATAGTTTTTAGAATAGATATCAATAATATTCCATTGTAAAAATTACAGTTTTTAAATACTGTTTAATTTTTTAATAGTTCGAGCATTGAATTTGTATAATTTATTGGAACATAGCATAATTAAAAACTCAATCAACCATTTCTCTTTGTTCCGTTACTTTTTTCCTCATTAACGCAATTTTTGCATCACTTTTACATACAAACTTATTTCCAAACAAATTGTTCACGCTGTCTGCTGATCGTTTTAATTTGTCAGTAACTTGTCGTGTACTACTGACAAGTGCACGGCAAACACTGGACATTTTGTCAAAATCCCTGATTTACGGCACCGCGAACGCCTGAAATCAAAATGCGCATGGTCATCTGTCGTGAACCTGTCGGCGACAGAATTTGCTAACAAAGCTATTCGCTTCTGAAAATTTTTAGGACAGATTGCGACAAGTTGCAAAATGAGATTTTTAGGGTGGTTTGGAGGTTTTTTTTTTGGAATGTGCGATAAAAGCCCGATATATACAGTTGTTTCATTGCTAAATTTTTTATTTATGCTGCTGACTACTGACTACTAAACATTTGCATTTGATATTTATTTGTTATGTTGTCATTTGTTATAGGAGATTTTTTTTATTTTGAAAATACATTTATTTTTAAAAATTGTGATGTTAGGCTAACGTGAGATTCTCATCTTTCGATACGTCACCCATCGAGACGCCTGTCTTCGTTCGACATACTGCGATTTCGATGTAATTACGAGACAGAAACCTCTTTATTCGATACGTGAAGTCCACGTGTCGAGTTCGCAAATATGACCCTTGTGCTGTTGGCAACACCGCAACGTTAGACATTTACTTGACGTATGTCAAATGTCAGATTAGAAGATGACTGGTTGATTTTGAAGAATTTTGGATATTGGATATTTGCTTGTTTCTTTCACCAAATAACAAAATACTTTGTCTAGATTAAACAAGTTTCATTAAAATGGTAAGAATAAAATCCACTTTTTCCTTAAAAAATAAATAGTTTCACCCCAATTCCACAATAACTGCATAATATACCGTTTCTTTTTGTTGAGAAATGCTTTGAATCAATTTTTTATAGGGTCAAAACCAGTCAGGACCTGGAGGTGGCGACAAAAAGGAGGAAAAGGATAAAAAGAAAAAATACGAGCCCCCAATTCCGACTAGAGTTGGTAAAAAGAAGCGGCGTACCAAGGGACCTGATACAGCTTTAAAATTACCTGCTGTTACCCCCCACACAAGATGCAGGTTAAAATTATTAAAGTTGGAAAGGATTAAGGACTATCTTCTGATGGAGGAAGAGTTCATCCGCAATCAAGAGAGATTGAAACCTCAGGAAGAAAAGAACGAAGAGGAGAGATCTAAAGTTGATGATCTTAGAGGTGAATAATGCCTTTTGTAAACTATAATGTAGTTATATATTTAATTTGTTTTAGGTACACCAATGTCTGTGGGTACTTTAGAGGAAATTATTGATGATAATCATGCTATTGTATCAACTTCAGTGGGAAGCGAGCACTATGTTAGTATTTTATCATTTGTTGATAAAGATCAGCTTGAACCTGGATGCTCAGTACTTCTAAACCACAAGGTAAGTTAAAAGTTACATCTGGGATGAGAGAATCCAATAGGTCATTTATTAATTATTTTCATAAATAATAATTTTAATGTCCTAAAACATAGAGAGTACTATTTTTACTGGAATGGATTTATCTAATGAAATTAACAAAATTTTACAGGTACATGCAGTTGTCGGTGTACTAGGAGACGATACTGACCCCATGGTCACTGTGATGAAATTAGAAAAAGCTCCTCAAGAAACTTATGCAGATATTGGAGGTCTTGATACTCAAATTCAAGAAATTAAAGAGTCTGTTGAACTGCCTCTCACCCATCCTGAATATTATGAAGAAATGGGTATCAAACCCCCTAAAGGTGTCATTCTTTATGGTCCCCCTGGTACTGGAAAGACCCTACTGGCCAAAGCTGTGGCCAATCAGACGTCTGCTACGTTTTTGAGGGTTGTGGGGTCTGAACTTATACAGAAATACTTGGTAAGTGCTTCGTGTTTAATTAATGTTGTGTTAATTTAATAATAAAACTTATTTCAATGAAATTATCATTAAGTACACTTGAACTACTGACTTAAAACATAGTTAAGTTAATAGTAATATTGGTGAAAAATCGACAGAATTATTCAAATTTGTGAAGTTTTAAAAATAATTTAGTTCCATTATTATAATTAATTTTTTTAGGGAGATGGACCTAAATTAGTCAGAGAATTGTTCAGAGTAGCTGAAGAGCATGCTCCTTCGATAGTATTCATAGATGAAATTGATGCTGTAGGTACCAAAAGGTACGATTCTAATTCTGGGGGAGAAAGGGAAATTCAGAGGACCATGTTAGAACTGTTGAACCAATTGGATGGGTTCGATTCTAGGGGAGATGTTAAGGTAATTAATAAAGCATTACAGATAAGTTTTTGTTATAAATAACCGACCCTATATCTATTACTGTGGTCAGTACTTAAAAGGTCATAATTGTGATTTTGAAAAGTGCGAGAAAACAAAGTTTAAAACGTTTCGTCAGATCAGATAATTGACAAATCAATCTAGTAATGAATGCTATTTTGAACTTATTATTGTGAGAAAGGTACTAAAACAACAATTTAAAACCATATTCTCTCGAAAAACTTACAAGTGTAAAAGAGACATAAGTCTTCATATTGCACTTTTATTTTTATTAGAATTTATGACAGAATGAGATATATAAACTTGAAAGGAAGTTGGCAGTTAAAAGCTAATAATAATTTTAAAAATCTGATGTGTCCAACACATGACATTCCTGTTCAGTTATTACAGGCCTTTTCCACTTATTTTATACAACCTATTTTCCACAAACATCTTGAAATTATTTTTTTTATATAGGTATATTCATTGCTAACAAAAATACTGAAAAATTAAAATTTTACTTTTCTTCAAATTTTTCCATTGTGTTCCATTTTAGAGAAATCATATATAGAATAAAAATTATAGAGAATAACATTACAATCAACTTTTATTTGAAAAATTTTCTTTTCCAAGCCTAAATGACATATATTCCATAAAAACGACCCTCTATAAAGTCTGGGGGTTTTCAACTATGCCCAAAATTTTGTTAGTTGACTGCAGTATGGATTAAAGATTAAATTTAAAATTTTGTGTTTTTCTCTTTATCCGTTTTTGAGTTGTCTTCAAAATTCAAAATGTATACTTTTTCTTAAATATTTCGAATACGATCCATTTTAGAGGAATTGTGTACAGGACAAGAATTATAGATAATGACGTCACAAATAACTTTTATTTGAACAACTTTCTTAAAACTTTGAATTTTTTACATTTTGTCAAATTTCTCGATTACCGGGCATTTTTAGGAAAATTGTGTATGGAACAAAAATTATGGAGAATAGTATTACAAGCAACTTTTATTTGAAGAATTTTCTTCTCCAAACTTAAATAACAAATATATTCTATAATTTATAAACAAGGCTAGGTATAAAGTTCCCTACAGATATTCCGACTATGCCCAAAATCTAATCAGCTCTGCTGCTGGGCGGAATAAAGCTTAAGTTTTAAATTTGGTGTTTTTCTCTCTCTTATTGAGTATACAGAGACACACAGGCATCATCACGAAAATAGTCGAAACGGATTCAGGGGACCCTAAAATGTCAAAAACTCGAGGTCAAAAAAAATTATGATTAGAAACCGTTTCAAGAGAAAAGAACCCACCTAAAGTTGCAGTCGTATGCACGAACGTGTCATCCTAACCAGCGCCATATTATAAATTTGATGTTTGACCTCAAATCAGTAGCATAACCATTTAAAATTTAATTCTTAAATAAATATAAATATGGAAATGGTGTCATTTTCACCAGTATTAATGCATGAAATATTTAAATAAAAAAAAATGCAATCTGCAGATCCCTTATAGACTGTTGAATATGTATTATAATATAGAAAGGAATGATCATTTTTATGGGTTTTTATGACATACATCATTGAAATGGTCAATACAGTTCATCAAATTTCTAGAGGTGTTCGACGCCCAGACAGAGAACGCGCTACGGGTGACTAAGATAGCTATTGTACAGTCTGCTAAACAAGTTATTTTAAATAGTTTTTAATATTTTTAGGTAATTAAATTTTAAAAGTGTGGAATAGTTTAGGGATTAAATTGGTCTGATTGGACTTTCTTAGAACGTTTTTAAAAGCAGCTAAAGATAGTATGTAGAATTGAAAATAATTATTATGCCATAAAAGGTGTTTTGGAATTCCTTCAACCTTTTGAAATTGAGTCAGAAAATATAAATTTTATAGGATAGCGGAAAATACCTATAATTTTTTTGTATGCCTTTGTAAATCGTGGAAATAGTTTATATTTTATTTCCACCTTATTAAGGAAAATGGTACCTATTATTAATAACGGTTGTTTCTGAAACATTACTAAAATTTTCGAAATTTTGTTTTTCTACAAAATAATAAACTATACTATTTAGAAAAAAAATTATTTCTCTTATAATTTTATAAAAAAATAACAGGGGAATATTTACATTTCTTGATCTATTAAACAAAACGATAAATTATCTCGACGAATGACACCATGTTCTAGTACGGAAGCTAGCTTTACATTTTTGTTGGTGGTTTCATGGGTTTCATATCAATTTTTTGTAATTGTAGTTTACACGTACATATACCTCTTAACACTTGTTTGCTTTATTAAAAAAGTGTGTTGTTGTGATTTACGTCGAAATAAGTCAAAAACAACTTGAAACCCCATATAAAATCAAAAAGGAGAAACGGAAAAAAATTGAGCCTCTAAAATGTAAATGAACACAACTCAGAAACAAAAATAGCTATCTAATAATAAAAAAATAAAATTGATTCTTGTGCAGCTTCATCTATATCATTAATGGTTTTTCTTGGTGATGAAAATTCCGATATCTCACGGTTATCGATTCTTTTTTTCTCTCCAGAAATGCGGACGACAGTGTTTTTAGATACTCCTGTGGCTGCAGCAACACGATCATTTACATTTTTAAATGGTATTGAAGGTGAATTAAAGTTTCCTTCTCTTCTCATAAACTCTATAACATTGGCTATTATTTCGCGAGATTGACTGTTAATCACGCGGCCTCTTAATTTGCTATTAAACTCCATACTTAGGTTCTATTAAACTGTAATGAGCAAAAAACACAAACGAAAATAAAAGAAATGTTTTAGCGAAATTTACATCTGACATTTACGTCTGAATGAAATAGTGAAATACTTGATGCGCAGAGTGTACTTTCATTGCGTAAATCCGTCGGGATGTCTGTCAGTAGTGCTTTCTCTGTCTAGCCGTCGAAAGCCTCTAGAAATTTGATGAACTGTAACTATGCTATTGAATTAGGGGGTAGTTATTAGATAGGGATGAAAATTCAACCCTTAGAGTTTTTGAATTATATCTCAGAAACGAAGCAAAGTTCAGGTATAGTTAATACGAAATTTTTTGTAAATGCCATTTTACATCGAATTATTTAAGTATTTAAAATTTAGGCGTTTATTTTAGAAACAACATATGCCCAAAATGTAAATTTTTCAGGAGATGAAAAAACGCACTGTAAAGTTTATTACAATTTTTTAAAGAACCTTTATATCTTAAAGTGATGAATATAAGTTAACTAAAGATTTTCCAGCTAGTACCTTTGAGAAAAATCTCATTATTTTAAGAAAAATAAATAAAATAACTTGGATTTATGCTTTTTATAAGAGAAAAAAATAGAACAAAACTAATATTATTATAAATTTAGTTTTTACTAAAGTTTAAGTTACAAAAAATAATTAGGATTCATCACAATTACTGCTGTTGTCTTCGTCGATTTCTATGGCGTCATTGCTATGCAAATCTTGTTGTGAAAAAATGCCATCATAAAAGCTTCGATTTTTTGCATTAAAGATCCCCTAGATTTTTCAGTTTGGCAGATGATATTGGCACATCCTGTGGATAAACTGGTGTGTTTTATGAAACCAGTTAATGGTTTTTTACTTCTAACAATAGAGGATCTCCATGGACCTGTATAGGTATCCCTTAACTTCACTAAAGCAGTCTCTGTACTAATTTCGAACTTGTTTTAGGGAAATTGGCAGTCTAGCTGTTTTCAGAAAATATTGATCAGTGGCTAACTTTATATGAAATATCTTGAAGGGGTCCATTTTGACTAATGAAAATTTCGAGGGTTTACTTCGTGCTGACAATATCACTTTATCCCACTCTTCAGGTGTATCTACTCTTTCCAAATGCCATTTCTTTTTTTCGATTAGTGCGAAGTCTTGATCGTTAGGGAGATATGAATTGTTCTGAATAGGAAACATGTATGTAATTTTGTCAAAAATTTTAAGCAAATGGACCAGAATAAATAAAAAGTGCAACATAACATAATTCTTGTTTTGCCCGGGACATCCATGACTAAGCAGTACAAGAGTCCTTGTCGTAAAGTTGTTATTTTTAAAAAAATGTAGCAACATGGAACACACATCATTAGCAACTTTTTTCGCTTGCCCTTCTGTGTAAGTGTAAATGGATGCCTCATCTGTACCAAGATTGTAAATACCAAATATGTGGTACCCTAACTGACGTGAATAGAATACTGTATTTTAAGAAATGTGGGGAAGATGCAGATTTTGCAGAAAATCAAAGCTAATGCAATTGATTTCCCTAGCCTTAGCTGTACCGTTTTTTTTCATTGTGAAAAATGCTTCAGCCTTTCTCAAATAAAGCTCCTTTTCCATTGTTATTTAGACTTTCTCGGCATTGCTGATTTCTGGAGAAGTAAGTTTTTGTTGGAACGAATCACATTGAGAACATGTATCAGATCGTAGAAAACCAAATTTTATATTAAAGTTGTGAATTTTTCCAGTAGATTTTATAAGGTATATTAATCAGGTATTCATATCGAAACATGGAATGCATATCTTTTATGGTTAAACCTTCTGGCAAGTAAAAACGAGAGAGTTTTTGCGCCTTGAGTAATGAGACTGCCTTGGTTTGAATGACTTAATGTGGTCCTTACTTAAATTAATTAGGGTCTCTGGATAGTCTGATGACCTTTGCTTGTCTTTTCCTCTTAAATCGCATGGCGCCGTACCTCGAGTGACCAAGTGGTTTTGGATACATCTAAGTCTGCCCACAGTTATACCATGAATGCTCAAAAATGCCTCTTTACAAACTTCTTTCATGCCTTCATATCTTATTTTAAATCCATATCCTGCAGAATGTGGTTTCATATTATCTACATTTCTATTTCGGACGACGTCTTCTTTCATAGTTATTAGGCCAGACAAATGAGAGTCTTGTTCATTTTTATAATTTTTATTGTTCATATTATAAAACTATTTAAATAAAACTACTTTTGCTTCCCTACTGATTTTTTTCATCA